GAGGAGAAGGAAATCTTTTGGGTGCCCCTTGTCAAACCAGAGCTATCATCCCCAGAGAGTGTAATCCTGGGGGAATTCAAGCCTTCTGGATCCTGATAAACAAATTCACTTTAAAAGTAACCCTCCATTGAGATTCACTCTCTGGTTTTACCTAAACTAGAAGGAGAGGGGGGAGTGCTGCTTAGCTCAGCTAAAACAATAGCTACCTGGGTGCTAGTTATGGGCCTGACGCTTCTACAAAGAAGCTTAGCCTAGCCTTATGCAGTAGCAACAGAATAGTCTCAAGGACAGAGAAAAGCAGCTTCCCCAGCACCCAGAGCTAATGAGAGAGACAGCCAACATATGAACCCTGTTCTGCCAGGCTCTAGAGTCCCTGTTCTCTTGTCTCTGGGATATTCGGGGCCTCTGTGGTAGCCTGTCAGAAAGTGCTAGTGAAATTACCTTGGAATAAGAGAAGATATTATTCTCTCTCTCTCTCTCTCTCTCTCTCTCTCTTGCTCTCTCGCTCTCTCTCTCTCTCATAGACAGAAGAAACTATCCTGTGCTATGGGTTACAGAGGATTCTCTATTCATTTTTTTTTCTTTTTAACTGAAGACTACATAGCTTCATCAAAATTCTAGATTACTTAAATAGGGAAGCAATATTTCCCTACTGGCTGATGTCCTGTGTATGTATGCATATGCCACTTTTTTTTTTTTTTTTTTGCGTGAAGTGAGAAGGCTGAACAAAGACAGAGGATGCTCAGGAAACCGAGCAGTGAGTAGCAGGTAGCTACACAATGCCGGGATACAGGGCCTGCTTTAAAAATACGCTGAATTGGGAATCAGTGGTCCTTGATTTGAATTCTGGTTCTTCCATTAACAATAATAGCTAACATTTTGGTGCTTACAGTGTGTCAAGTATACTCCAGACACTTTAAATGTGTTAATTTACTTAATCCTCATCACCATCCTGTACCTATTATCATTCTCATATTATTGATGAAAACATTGAGACACAAAGATTAAGTTATTTATTCTAGATCATGCCAGGTAATAAGCAGTAGAAAGTTGGTTTAAACTCAGGCAGTCTGGCAGTTATGCAGTACTACCATCTCTCTAACGTAAACTAACTGACCTACTGTGTCTGCTAAACTTTCTGGGCTTTAGTTTTTGCCCATTTATGAATTCACAATTTTAACAAACATTAAAGCCCAACCCTGTGTATAACCTTATAGATGAGGTAGAGGTGGAAAAGACCACACACACAAGCTCCCTACCCTGCCCCCAGGCATATCCAGGGCAAAATGCAAATGGAAGAGGGAGTCCACTATGCAGCTGAGACTCCCAGGGAAGGCTTCTGGAGGAGTTGGCCTTGGGACTCAGACTCAAGATGGCAGACTGGTTCCAAAGGGCATCCCAGGCAGAGATAAAGCTCTGAGCGTGGGACTCTAGTACTTAGATCACTTTGAATCATGAACAGGGTCATGATTTCTGGGCCAGTTTCATATGATGAGAGACTAGAAGTAGGGAGTCCTGTAAAGAAGCCAGAGAAACGGTCTGTGAGAACTGAGGACCTCAAGTTGGGTGGCGGGGAAAGGGAGCAGGAACACAACCTGGGATTTGAAATCTGAAACACCAGGAAAGTGAGAGGAAGAGGATGGGATGGAGTAGAGACTGAGAGGCAGAGAGGACACCGAAGGAAGACAGGCACTGCTGACTTCTTCAGTGTAACATTCCGAGGCACTGGCCAGAGTGATGGGATTTGTACAGCTGACGCTCAGAGTAACGACCATCTGAGAAATATTACGAAAGTTACCCACTGGATAGCAAGTGTTCTCTAGGTTCCCCTGTGCTATTTGCAATCGACAGAACAGCACTGCTCTATAGGAGCGTGGCTTTCCTGTAAAAGAGGCAACACACCATAGTGCTAGCATGGTAGACTCTGAGGCCAGAAGACTAAAATAAGTAGAGGAGCTGCTGTTACAGTCTTTCTGCACCTTTGTGTATGATGTGTGAAATTACCCATCTCACAGTGTGGCTGTGAGGACCAAATGAGTTGACAGGGAAGCGCCTGGCCTGAGTAAGCACAAGGGAGAGATTAGCTGCTCCTAGGGATGAGTAAGCCTCAGAGCGGAGATGAAATGATCCGGCCAAGGACACACAGCCAGCAGAGTCAGGATCTGAACCCTGGTCTCCTGGCCTCAAGGCCTCCTTCAGTTCTGCTATGCCATGTGGAAGTGAGGTGGGACCACAGAACACAGGGAAGCCAGGGGGTTCACGGGAGCAGCACATTCAGGTGGCAGAAAGAACAGGAAGAGGAACAAGAAAAAATTAGAGGAAGAGCAGGAATGCAGATCCTTACAAATCTTTTGTTTTCATGACTGTTTAAATCTAATAAACTCATTCTAAAAATTAGAACCCCTGTAACCACACCACTTACCTGCTCTCCTGTTAGACAACCACTGCTAACATACTAAAAACAAAGAGCCCAGCACATGCTAGTATCATGAAAGGCAGGAAACGTGACTTGAAATACAGAGAGGGTCTTCGCTGTCCTATAGATAAGGCTGGAAGCAAGAGGGTCAAGGCCACTGGGCTTGGAGCTGGGCAGGTTGGAGCGGGACATCAGAAGGCTAGGAGTGGACGTGGAGCAGACACGGTTGGGTAGGTGTGGGGCAGGTGGTGGAGGAGTGGGCACCGACAGCTCCAAAACAACGGAGCTGGATGGGTGGTTGCAGGAATAGGAAACCTGTTCTGTGAGATGGACCCCTTCGGGAATCTGGTAAAATTTACAGATCACTTCTCAGAATAGGGTTTTAATGCCTAAAATAAAACACAAAGGATCACAAGAGGGACACTCTTCTGTCCACAGATCCCTTGGAATGCCGAGCTCCTATAAAGACACTTTTGGTTTTAAGATGGGGAACTTCTGTGAAATCTCCATCCTTGGGAACTACCCACTGCCCGCTCCCTGAGTCCTCTACACCCTGGGGCTTACACAAAACTGAAGATGCACCCAGAATACACAGTAGGTTCAAGTCTCTAGCTCTAGAATATGGTTTTAGACAAACACTTATCTTCAGGTGATATGGATAGCCTAAAATGTAGAGAGTTTGGGTAAAACATAAACATACCATTCCTGTTTACTTAGTTCAGAAGGGTATTGGCAGAGTGGAAAAGGGCTTTGGAGACTTTATGCACTGATTAAGTCTCATGTCCTCCCCCCGGGGAAAAAAAAAAAATTCCACCACGACTGAAAGCTGGGTAATCCTGGGTGATTGGCTGATTACAGGAGGAACTTCCACATGCTTGCAAGATGGCTGATGTGTTTCCTTAGGGGGCTGGATTTGTTCCCTTCATTACACACACACACACACACACACACACACACACACACACACACACACACACAATTTGGCTGTGGAGGCAGGGAGGGGCAGAGTAAATGAGATTTGGCACTGAGACTAATGGGCATATTTAGGGTTTAAATTTGCAGACAAAATTCAGAAGATCAGCAGTGACTCCTCTTGGACCAGGTGAGGGCCTGGAAAGGCTGGCAGCAGTCAAGGCTGGGCAGACTCAAGACCCACACTAGACAAATGGCTTTCTGAGTTTTTTTTTTTTTAAATCACCCTTTCAAAAGAAAACCGGTTGAACCTGCCTAAGTCTATTAATACAATACAAGAGCAGGTTTCCATCAAGTAATCCCAATTATCGTTAAATTATGATTTCATAATTTTTCCAGGCCATGTTCAGTATGTCAGTGAGAAAAGGACCCTTTTACCCCACTGCCCATAAGTAGTTGTGAAATTATCATACCGACTCCATCTATTGTTGGGAGTGCTATTTTGGGTTGGCCCTATGTAATGTGAAATGAAGAGAAAAAGTGTGTAGCAGAATTCAGATATGGAAATCCAGACTTAAAAACATTCCCTGATGGTTTGGCATCCTCGGGATAAATTGGTCATAGTTTTCAACAACTCAGATCAAAGCCAAATGCTGTTTGCATTCAGACAGTGATTCAGGGACCATGTCTTATTTGGTTTCTTTGAAAATAAAGCACAGACATTTTTTCATACCTTTGAGAAAAATCTTTTGGCTGCCAAATTTGTGCACTGTAAATTTTATTGTACTCTAATACACAGTTCTACATCTTGTCTCAAATGTTTCTTTCGGAATTATCCCAGCAACTCTAAGCTGAGTTGCTTGCTGCGATGATGGGCTCCTGATGTAATATGAAGAAGAAGAAGAAAATAGGCCAACTGGTAAAGAAAAAAAAAATAAATGAGAGTAAATAAAACACATATGGAACTTCTACTTTCAGAGTTGAAATGTATATGAGTATATATGCAAATCAGCCATCCAAATAGAAATCTAGACTGGGCCAGACTTAGGCACAATTATGAAGTAGCAAAGTTTTCTATCCATGGCCTTTTATTTTCCTGACCTGAATATTTTTCTCTGACCTCCATCTTGCTTTTTGGCCAACTTTCTGATGCTTCTATAACCTTAGAGAGTTAGAGTTATCCACCTTGGGTATTTGCTTTAGAACTCCTTTCTACATCACACCCTTCCTCTTACTTCTGTTCCATTCCCTTCTTTAAAGCCATGTGTAGTAATTATTTAAATTATCATTTTAAAAACACATTGCCTCGTAGCCAGTTCTTGCCCTTCATGAACAGACTATATTTTTGCAGTTATTTCCTAGCTCTGCTTCGTTCTCTTAATAGTGCATACCCAAGTGCCTGTTATGCAGAGAGCATTGGCTCTGGTGCATCCAGTTGTAGAAGAGTGAGGTAGTAAATGGGAGGGGGAGAGCATGAACCCAAAAGGTTAAACAGCGTGATAACGCGGAGTAACAATATAAAAATGACATGTGCTAATTTAATCTAAAACTGCTTTCATGTATATTCTGTGTGCAGACACAATTCTAAGCATTTAGCAAATATTAACTCATTTAATTTTCCAAACAGTTCTGTAAGACAAATACTGCTACTGCATTTATTCTCTTTTTGCAGATGGAGAGACAGGCACGGGACGGTTAAGGGACTTCCCAAAGTCACCGAGCTATTGAATGGGGAGCTAGGACTGAATCCCAGCAGTTTGGCTCAGCTTCTCCAGCTGCCAAGGGAGAGACACAGACTAGGGCTTTTGACGTCAGGAGCCATTTCAGGTGAGCTAAAGATGGCAGTGGTTCTTCTCCCTGACTGCCCATTAGAGCCACTTGAAAAGCTTTTAAATAGTCCTGACGCCTATACCCCATCTGGGCTGATCAGATCGGAATCTGTCAAGGGGAGGCCTGCCATTGACTGGATAAACTAGTCCAGGCCCAAATAGCAGCCATCCCCAGGAACCACCGCAGGGGACTAGATCCTCAAGGGGAGGCAGAGCTTGGGAGGACAGAGGAGAGGATGTTCCTGTGGGAGGTGGGACAGCAGGGGACAGGTTCCACCTCTTTATTCTGTCCAGTTCCCTTCCACCACCAGGCTTCTGTGTCTTCCTCCAGCCTTCCCCTTCTTCCTCCTCTTCTCTACCCGTTTTCCCTTCGACCCTCTTGCCTGCTCTCCTCTATCGACCGCTTTACCTTCTCCCTCCTGCTGTCCTCCCCCATTTCCTCTTTATCTTGCCCTGCATCTTGCTACCAGCCCATGGGCCACTTGGCCATTTCACTTAGCACTGCCCCACCTCCTCACAGAAAGAGGGCAGTGGCAGGGCTGAAGCCCTCAGATCAGGCATGATGCCCTCTCACCTTGCTATGAAGGAATTCACAGGAGGACTGTGATGTGAATACCCAGTTTCCAGATAGTACGATATTACATTCTGTTAGGGTACCCAGAACATCTGGCACTTGGCTCTGAGGGTGAGGGGAGAGAGATAAGCTGAAAAGGCACATTGTTTTAAATAAGCCAAGCTTGTACCATACTGTTCTGCAGGACAGGAGTCTGACACGGGACTCACTGGGCTAAAATCAAGGTGTTGTCAGGGCTGTTTCTTTTTGTATTCTCTAGGAAAGAATCTGTTTCCTTGCTCTTTCCACTTTGCAGAGGCTGACCGCATTCCTTGGTTAATGACCCTTTACCCTCCTGCTCTGTCCCTCCCCTCCCTTCCTCATTGAACCCAGGGCTTTTTCACTGAGGTACATCACAGCACCATCCCACTTTCCTTTTTCATTTTCTCGAGTCATTTCTTGTTAAGTTCCTAGGCTAGGCTCAAACTTGTGGTCCTCTTGCCTCACCTTCTCAGTCCGTTGGGATTACAGTGTGTGCCACCTCACCCAGCTCAGTAAGCCTTTCTTGCACCTTCAAAGCCAGGTAGCACCTACCACTTAAGGTCCCTTTTTTTTTGTTTTGTTTTGTTTTTTTTTTTTGGGTACTGGGGATTGAACTCGGGTCCTTGCACTTGCAAGGCAGTCCACCGAACCGCTGAGCTAAATCCCCAGCTTAAGGTCCCTTTTTTCAGCCTTCAGATCACTTTCTTGGGCTTTTCTTTGCCTCCCCTGTTCACTTTTAAAAACTCATGTGATTATAGTGGGCTCACTTGGATGACTCAGGACACTGTCCTTACTTTAAGGCCCACTAAATAGCAACCGCAATTCTAACTCCAATCTTAAGTCCCTTTCACCACGTAGCTGAACATATTCTCAGGTTCCAGGGATCAGAGTGGAAAATGGATTGGCAGGGGAGAGACTTTATTCTCCCTACCACAGAAAACCTGAGGCTAGAAGGAGGTCGACGGTAAAGGTCATCCATCTAGTTAGGACAGCAGGTTCAAAATCTTGGAAGAATATGCAAGACAGGTGTGTTAGTCCATTTCCTCTTGCTACAATTTAATACGACAGACTAGGCAATTTAGAAAGCATAAAAGTTTATTCAGCTCACAGTTCTGGAGACCCAAAGTCAAAGTGCAGCATCTGGTGAGAGCCTGAGTCCTGGTAAGGGCGCTGCAGAGTCCCAAGGTGGTGCAGACATTCTGTAGTGAGAGAGCAAGCTGGCCAGCTTGACTCACTCTCCTTATAAAGTCGCTACTGCCATCATTACTTCCTCTACTGCTCCTCACCTCCCAGTTCAACCTTCGAATTAATGCAAACTTTGAAAGTTTCAATTCATCTTTGAACAGCCTGCCCACCCCTATGCTTTTCTGTCTCCTGTTTTGTAATGAACTGGCATTTAAAGCTCTAGCTATAGGTATTATTTGGGGCTGTTGGTGAAGGTGGCAGAGGAAATGTCCTCAGATTCTCCTCACACTGGGGGACGAGCATTTAGACCAGCATGGGGCTTGGAGGAACTACCGGGTCATTACATAGACCATTCACACATTACATTTTGTTCTTACATTTTCATGTAATTATGTTTACACATGTATTTCATCAAAATGTCTTATAATAATCAGTGCTTTGGAGGCAGTGGAGTACATTGCTACAGCAAAGAGTGGGAGCCAGAGGGGCTGGCTGGGTTCTAATCTCACCTCTGTCACTTATTAGCTTCCTGCCTTTGAGAATTAAATGAGATCCAGAATCTTACTTTGTTTGGTCCCGACTCTAACTAAACCCTGAGAAAATGTGAGTTGTTATCAGCCATAACTGAACTGTGTCTTCAGCTGAGCACTCAAAACCTGGCACCTTCATTTTCTCTTTCATACCCACTGCTTGCTGCAAAGAAAAAGAAAGCAGTCACAGGAAGAACATTTCTGACCTAGGCAAGCTGCTGAGACGAACAGCATTATTAGGTTCAAATGGTCTAACTACAAGGCCCTAAATTCAATCTAGAATCTAAGGAACTGTCTGTCCCTGCCACTTATACCAACAGCCCCAAGTAATATCTGTAACTAGAGTCGTAAGTGCCATTTAGTTACAAAACAGGAGACAGAAAAGCCTAGTGATGGGGAGGATGTTCAGGGAGGAACTGAAACATTTATAGGCTGGATTAATAACAATATTTACAACTGTAAACATGAGTGGGGCTCAGAGACGCCTGGGGAAGCACCCCTAACACAATTCCTTTTCTATTTCTAAATGCCCACCCAGGAAAATCTTGGAGGCTCTGTGTTATCTGGGAATGAGAAAAATTCCAACTTCAACAGGGAGTTGGGAATGCATATATTTCCTATTAGGTGCTGAGTTCTGGGGCAATATTTGTTAACCAGTAACTGGGAACACGCAGAATTGGCCTGGCTTTTCAAGGCAGCTCTGACAACAAGTGGATAAGCTACTCTATCTGACCCCCAAAGGTTGGCCAGCTGGTCTGAAAGGGGGCATTGTGTAATTACTGGGAAAGTAGAATATCTCTTGCTTAATGTTATACTTTCCAAATGACAGAAGGGTCCTGAAGACAGCATGAGCCATAAATTAATTTAAAAAAACCATGCTAAATGATGTCACAAAAACCAGGTACTTACTGAGAGCCCCTTGAAATTGGTCATGCTTACCTTTATATGCTTTATATCCTCTGTATTCCATGGTACTTTGAGTAGTTTAGGTACTTAAATAAGTCACTGTGTTTGTTTAAAAAGCTTATGGACTGTACTGGTTCTCACAAATGGCCAAGTCAGGTGGAGATCAGGTGTGGTTCCATCAGGGCTTGGCTCTCGTTTTCTGCAAGCTTCTCTGCCTTGCCCTTCTGTGCCAGCTTTCCCTGCTAGGAGGAAGGCAGCTACACGTGTCGTTCTATAACACAGAAAGGAGAAAAGGCCACCTCTTCTGAATCTATCATGAGCTTTCCTCATCACCTCTCATTAGGCTAAGTTGGCCAGTGCTTGCTCTTGAACTAAGGAAGTGACCTTCTCTGACTGGCGTAGGCCCAGATTTATGAGCCATTCGCTTTGACAAAGGAAGTGGAATTCCTCTTGGAATTATCAAGCCCAGCCTGGGGCTGGGGCTGGAACAGGGACTGGGGTCAGTTTCCTGGGAAGCCCACAGGCTGTGCCCTTTACCAACAGGGGAGCCTTGGATGGGACAGTGACACTGGCTGATGGCACAATTCCCATTCAGTCTTGCGATAACTCAGGTAGCAGAACTGAGGTTCCCAGCAGTTCGGAAAATAGGCCCTGGTCTCCCGGTCAGTGGTAGAGTTGGGATTTCCAGGTTTTCTGATTCCAAAGTCCATCCTCCTTCCAACATACCACCCTGCATGAGTGAGTGAACAGATAATGTCTGGTGGAAGCAGGAAGAATAATGGGCAGGTTAAGAAAATGAGGCTGTCCTTGCTTAAAGCTGGGTCATTTCCACATGAGCCAGGTCATACTGGGAAGACATTTTACTTCTCTGCCTGTTTTCTCATCTGTAAAATGGAAGCTGTGCTAGCTCCTACCGTGTGAGAGTCAAGTGCAGTAACAATGCAGATGATGAATCTGGAGCAGGGCCTCAGCTTATAAAAGGCCAACACTCCTACCAGGGGCACTTCAGCTTTGGGAGCACTGGTCATTTGAACAACGGACAACAAAATTATACCTGCCACAGTTTCTGCATGGTTCAAAGAGAACGGCAGTGTTTGTATATGAAATCCTCCTGACAGCTATAGACTGTGGAATTCTGGACTTGTAGTAATCTACTCAAATGAACTCTTTTGCCAATGATCCAGGGAGGAGTCTGCAAAGCCTCCAAATCACTTTTCCCCCCACTGAGCTAAATTCTTTACCTCAATTAATTGGTACTATCCTGATATGTCCCAGTGCTGTCCTGCCTTATTTCCCCTCATTTTTAAAGAAAATTCATCTTCCCCTCTGCACCCTCATTCCTTATTTTCCTTTTCTTCCTTCTCTCCACCACTTAGTTTGTATTCTCCTTTTTTGGGTAGAATTCTAAGTGTAATGCAAACGACCTGGTTCCTGGTGAAGGACTGGGGCAGGGTGGGAGGAATTTTTCCTCTAACTCTAAGCATTGCATCGAAACTTTTAATTCTCTTCATCAAGGGAGAAAGCAAACAAACAAAATGAAGAAGCTTGGGAAAACAGGAGTACAGTTATTTACACTCCATTAAAGTACTGAAATGATCACACACACACACACACACGCATATGTCAGTAGTGCTATTCACCATCTCTGAAAGTAGGGAAACTATTCTTTAACTTGCTCATTAATGAATCCATTCATTTGATTAGCATTAATTATTTTCTTATGCCACTATTACTGCTAAGCCATGAAAGGCTTACAAAGAAAAATAAGTTACAGCCCTTAGAAGACATTTACAGAAGATAGTTATGGCTCACATAGCATCTTGACCAGGTAATCGATTTTACAGTGCCATATGGAAGTGGACACTATGGTTGCCTGTGGAATATTATATGTACATATATGGATCCATTTTATTTAGATAAGCACTTTAGTCTGTGACCTTTAATCCTGATGTATTAACTCCATCAGATGAAGGAGCTCCTAGCAGATTAGCAGAGCAGGCCTCTGAGTACGCCTGGGGGTTCCAGAATCTTGGCCCTGGGGGTCACACATGGTCCCATCTAATCATGTTGCTCCTGGATGCAATAACTGAGCAGCTTTGCCCTACCATGCTCTTCTGCCACCACGTTTGTGTCTTAGAACCAGCTGACTGGGGACTGGATTCCTCTAAACCTTGAGCTAAATTAAATTTTTCCTTCCTAAATTATGAGTCTTGGATATTGTGTGCAGCAAGTGGAATGCCAGTTAATTCAGATATACCAAGATTCATCCCACTGAGCTGGCTGTGGTGGTGCACTCTGGAAGGCTGATGCAGGAGAATCACATGTTTGAACTCAGCCGGAGGAATTCAGGTACTTAGCAACACCATGTCTCAAAGTAAAAAAGGGCAGGAATTTATCTCATTGCACAAGCTCTGGGTTCACTCCCCAATACTGTAAAATAATAATAATGATAATAATAGTAATAATAATAATAATTGACCCTTATAGAATTTTAGATGGATCTTAGGTTTATACCAACAGGGAGAAAAAATTTTACAGTCAAAAGAGATTGAGACAGTGTGTGGAGTAAAATATTTCACATTTTAGTCAGTTGCATTTAGAGTGATATGTTTTAGACTCTGATTTAGTTTTGGCTTTAGGAGGGAAAAGAGTTTTGATGCTGTGAGTATAATGAGTACAAATAAGAATTTTTGAAAACTGCGTCACTAATGAATGAGCAGGAAAGACTGGACTGGTCATACCTGTGACAAATTAGTATAAAGAGCAACTAATACTTTGTTAGGGTAACAAGGACTGATAACATAATGTGAAATTTGATGCATTCCACTATCGGTTCTACTTGCTCAGGAAGGTAAAATGGAAAATTTCCATCTGACACATTTAGTTCTCCTCTTGAATTTGGCAAACACTGACTTTTTCCACCTAACTGGACTATTGCCATGTGGTTTGTGAGTGTGTTAGGCATACTATCACTAGTGCTGTTAGCTCAACTTATCTGTGTTTTGGGGCTCAAATTTATTTCTTTCTATAGATACTCTACAAGAGTAGGAATCTGATCACAGTTCTTTGAACATATGTAAATGTTTTGCTGTGAGATTACTCAGATTGACACAAATAACAGTTCTCCTGAAGTTTTGTGGTTACAGTATTCCTTCCTGGAGTGTTCTGCTGTAGCTGTGAGGTCCTGAATGTTTCTATTTTGACCGTAGATTCGTGTGACCATAGCAGCTACACAGGATCTGTGCCTTCCGTGTCCTTTCTGATGCTGATCCCTCCATCTGGGGTGGTCTATTTTGCTCATCTCTCTCAACTCATTGTTTGGGTCCAGCCTACACAATCAGGCTACTGCATGCCACATGGTAGGAAATCACTGCTGGCTCCTCCACCCTCCCTGCATACTTAATTGTGTTCACCTAACATTGATTACCACCTGCCTTGCACTTTACACATCTGCAATATGCTTTAGACATATTCAAAGCAAATAGAGTTATTTTGTAGGACAGCAATGTTTAAAGAACTTGAGGCTTCCAAACTGGCCAACTTGGCCCTGTCTTTCTTTGTTTACTGAGCTTCAACATCCTTGCTTCTAAACAGAAGATTGCTAATGACCATACAGATGAGATATATCTGCAAAGAGCCCCCATTCCTTGATGGGTTGCTATAATCCAGGCACTGGGAAAAAGGCTTTGTGTAACCTTTTCTGCTGTTATGAAGCCTACAAGTGTAAGCTTCTTTCATCTCACTCTTTGGGCAGAGTAGTATGTACTCACTGAATTTTTCTTAAATGAATGAGAACTGGACACAAGCTGGCCACGGGACCCTGTCTACTGAGTCAGCAGTTAAGGCACATGCAACATACATCTGTAGAGAGGAAAGATACTGACTGGGCTGTAGTTCCACCTATCTGACTGAAAGACCACCTGGGTTTGATTCCTAAACAAGATGGATCGCTCACAGAGAGGAGGGGAGAATCTAATCTCTGAATGACTTTACTTCCTTTCCCAGTATCTCTCATTACCACCTCCCACTTCTCTGCTGACCAGTTCACCCAGAAGAAGTACAGATCTCATTCTGAGTCACTCTGGGGATGTATTGGTGGCACTGCATTTTAACTATTCTCGTGAAATACAACTACATTACAGATCTATGTTCTTGGCCAAAGAAGAAGAAGAAAATATCCAGCCAAAGCACTGTACCTGTTTTATGGTAAATGTCCTCAGAATTTTAAAGGATCATAAAAGTGGTGCATAAATAAAAGACCATTCCCACCCTTGCATTTATGCAAATGAAGAGAATTTTGGGTATCTCCAAGTTGATGACTCCTAACTTTCCTAATACTTTATTCCCAGTAGATAGTGATTAAAGTAGGGTGTAGGTATATGTTTTTTTTTTTTTTTTCCTCTCGGAGCTCCACTATACCCACCAAACAGAAGTTCTAGAAGTGTCTGCAAACCCTTAGGATACTATTTCATGCATCAAAACCATTGTAATTGAAATTATTTTGGGGGGATCATGGATACTGCTTTTTTTTTCCAGTTTCCACCCAGACTTTTATTGTCTCTGGGGAGCAGTTGTAGAGCACAAGAGTTTGATGAACAGAATTTCCCATGATGTGTGGAAGGGTCAGTGTTCCCATCTCACTTTGCTCCTGAAGGCTGGAGTTAATGAGTTTTTATGTGAATGTCAGGCATGTTGCAATAACTAGCCACAATGGAATAGTCATGGCAATTTCCACCACTTGGTTTCTTTGTTTTTGTGATGTTGCTGCATGCTTCATTTTATGAGTATTTTCTTTTTCTTATATGTGGTGGAACCCAGCTACTGGAATCCTGGTCTCGGTTATTTCTCTTAAAAGGGAAGTGAAATAGGAAGAAATTGGAAAATTGTAGAATGACATATCATAAGTACTTATTATTTTTCTCTTTCCACTTCTGTTGGTAGATACTGATGAGTTTGTGTCCTAAGGAAAAGGAAAAAGAAAAGGGGATCATAAGATAAAAGAAAAAGTATCAAGAAAATGACACTTCTTTTGGTGATATTACCATCATGGATAAAGACCAGGTCTAGTAATGTTCCCACTGAACTAAGATATGATGTGAAAACTGCCTCCTTCTGGTTTGGCTTTATGGAGTAAGTCATTTTCTGTCATCTTGATCATGGCATTTACTACTTCAATGCAAATCTCTACTTGAGTGAGAGCAGATTATGCTCTAAGAACATATATAATTCTGAGTGTGGTTTCCTCATTCGTTTCATTTACAGAGGTGGATTAACTCTCGCTACAGAAAGACCTAACAGAAGATGTGTGTGCATTACATGCATTGATTCCAAGATAGAAGTCCTTGCTTCTGTGTGAATACCGGTGAGGATACACTAAAAGCGGGGTTTTTGAGGTATCTAATCATGCCAAACAGTAAGGCTTGGGGCACAGCTTAGGCGAGATATGAAGGCACTGAATTCTGAAGGGGAAAGACGCATCATGCAGGGTAAGGTAAAAGGGTAAGCAAAAGACCCTATACTCTGCTTTGTACCTTAGCTGCACTTCTGTCACCTCCTCCTGTTCCACGTCTACACCTTGAAAAGATGCCAACAGCATCTTTCTGCGTTACTCATCTAGTTCAGTTTGTGATGTGCACCCTAATTTCATGGTGTTTTTTTTTTTTCAATTTTTCACATCTACTTTCTGCCTTTTACTACTGGATATATATTTTTCTTTTTCTTTATAATTTGCCATCAAACCCTGTAAAATAGCTGCTACTTTTTCATGTTTTAAAAAAAGTGCAACAAATAAGGCCCGGGAGAAGGCGAAGTGCCTCCCTGCTACTACCCTGTGCTGGAGTTCTAGGACTCCTCGCTGCACGCACCGTGTGTGTGTGTGTGTGTGTGTGTGTGTGTGTGTGTGTACGCACGCGCGCCTCTCCGTGTGAACGTGTGGAGAGGGAGACCCGGGCTCGGCCTGCGAATTGGCCGGCCAGTGACCAGCGAGCCCGCCCCAGCCCCCTCCCCCTCCGGTGCTCTCACTCAGGAAGCAGCTGGCTGCAGGCCGGCCCTTGCGGCGCACACAG